CCCAGCTGTTCTGCAATGTTTGTCAATCTGCTGAGTCTAGTGAGCCTATCTAGAGTTCCTTATTTTAGAAAGATCAGCTCTTCCTCATCTAGCAGCAATCAGTTGCCAACATTCCTTTAAATAAGATTGGGGTTTGCTGTTCATTTTCCCAGTTCTATGCTGGGTTACTATCTGAGAGTCTCTTGGGCCACCCAACAACTCAAAGGAAAGTTTCTCCTGTGGTATTTTTTCTTGTTATGTAGCCTTTAGCTATACCTTATGATAATTATGTTCACTCAGTTTACAGAATACAACAAATGTTCAACAAATATTTTCAAATAAATGAATGGGTAAATATTGTCCTATATCTACTTATGGAAAATCAGTGGGAGCAGTTGTCCAAACTATACATTCTAATACCCAACTGAGTCTGTGGACACTTGGAATGAGAAAAGAGAGACATAATATCCCAGATTAAGTTTTACATGTCCTTTATTCCAGTAAGACACAGAATATATCCTTTTCTTTGTGGCTTGTGTCCTCAGTAGTAAGTCTCCATTTCCCCCAAAAACATAGACCATTCTTTTTCATATTTGGTGGGTCTCTCTGTACTTCTTATATCACATAAAGCAGAAGGGTTTGAGGAGTTCACATTTAGCACAGCCAATCAACAACTACAGAGACAGAGACACATTTGTGTCCCAAGCAGCCAGGTTCCTCTGAGGGGCTGAGCCTGCTGCAGAGAATTGACTGTGGAGAGTTAGCAATGGAGGGAGGGGCTTTTGGGCACCATCTTGGAGAAAAGGCACCAGCAGGGGTGGAAAGGAAAAGTCCTGGTGCCTCGCACACATGGATGTAAGAGGGGGCATTTAACAACCTGGAGCAAGACCGGGGAGGGGCACAAGGCATGGGTGAAAGCTGATGGTGATTGTGGGCAGGGCACAGAAGAAATCTGCAATGGCGGGCCACTGAGCCACAGAGTGGAATGGGCACAGGGTGTTCACCTTGGTATGGAGCACTGGGTGTTTGCCTTTGTAAGTTACTCCATTCCCCCTCCCCAGGATACAAACTGAAAAATTCAGATAAATATGTGCTATGTGGTTTGTCTACCTGCACCAGGAGCAAGGGACCCTAAGAGAACTCGGGCAACACCATCCCTGATACACAAAGATCACCTAGACACCTTTAGACCATCAGAGAAAATGAGGGAGGGAGAGAGATCACTGGGACACCCAAAATCCAAATAAAATCCCAAATCCCAGTTCTCGGGGAAGGGGGGCCATTCTCTATTAAAGAAGCCTGCAGTTCTTTCCAGTAAACTTTCATGTTACACTGAGCCATTTGTTTCCCTATCTGTTAATTCATTAACTGATGAAGAAAAATAACCCACCTCTAGTCCCTGACCTGAGTCATAATCCTAGATGAAATTTTGATCCATGAATATATTTGGGAGAGTAGTTCTCAGTCTGAGTGCATCTGTAGAAACAAGATAATATACCTATACTTAGCTCAGCAAATCATTAAGATAAAATGAGATAGCAGTATAAGGCCAGGGATGATCACTTGCCTAGCATGCATGAAGCCCTTATTTCAATCCCCAGCCTCATACCAACAGAGTGTAGTATGGAATATCTGTAATCCCAGGACACAGGAGATAAGGGGCTGAAGGATGAGAAGCTCAAGGTTATCTTTGACTATATAACAAATCTGAAATCATTCTGAGTTGCAGGAGACCATCTAAAAAATGAATAATCTGTGAAGAGTTAAATACACAGCTTATCTGAGAAAGCTTTTACTGATTCACACACACACACACACACACACACACATAGAAAACTTCATACATGAGTATGTTACTTGTATCATTTCTACCCCTCCCACTTCCCACAACTCCCATCATGTACCCCATTCACTCTCAATTTCTTATCTACACTTTGGTTATTCTTGTTGCATATATACACACACATTACACAATGTGTGTGTGTAATATATATAATATATACATATATATATATATATATATGTATTATGGATGTTATCCTTAGCCTTTAATGGCTGCACTATCCCTCCAGCCATATATATACATTATAATGTACTGAAATCATTTAATGGCACTCATTTATACATGTGTTTAGGGCTGATCATTTGGGATTAGATTACCTATTAGGGAGCTAGTCCTTGGAGAAAACTGATTCTCCCTCCCTCAGTATACATTGGCTGTTTGTAGCTCTTCAACTAGAGGTGAGACCCTGTGAAAATTCTGCCATCTTCATTGTTGTGTGAACTTGTTTTGTCATTATGCGGACTTTGTTAGACTACCATGCTATGGAGATTTCAGTGGTGCAATGTCACTATCATGTCTAGACTGCATTATCTAGCAGTAGGCATCTTGCTCCTCTGGCTCTTAAAATCTTGTCTCCCCCTCTTTCATGATGATCCCAGAGTTTTAGATGGAGATATGGCCTTGTAGATATGTCAGCTGGGGCTGGACAACCCAGAGTCACATATTATCTGCATTTGGACCAGTTGTGGAACTGTTTGAAAGAAGTTTCTTTGGTGAGTCATTCATTTATTTACTTATTCATTCAATTTATTTATCATTTATATATTATGTATATGCACCTGTGTGATATATGTGTGTCCATGTGAGGACAAGTGCAACAATATGCATGTGATGGACAGAGGACAACCTCAAGTGTCAGTCCTCAACTTCTTCATATTTGATTCATGCTTAGTGGTCTACTACATATATCAAGGAACACCAAGGAAGCAATGTATGATTTTTATGCAATGAAAATTAGCAAGGGAGTTGGACTGAGTCTTGTAGTCAGAGATCTCTGTTTCTGCCACCCTCCATCACAAAACGTAAGCCAAAACGAGTTGTCACCTGTTTGAAGTAAGAGGTATGATATGCTAATTTTACCCAGAATTCATTCAAACCTCTTTCCCTTCACAGTGTTCTATGTAACAATCAAATTTATATCCTTGACTATTAAATATATAGCTTAAATAAGTGTTTTTAAAGAAATTTACATCTCATCCCTCCCCACATTCCTCAAAGTACTTAAAGTATCTTACAGCAATCAATACAAAATACTATTAACATAAGTGGCAACTGAGTAAAAGAATCCAAAATAATCCATTTTTACGTTCTTAGTTTGGTGTCTTCTAACCTCAAATATGAGATAACCAAGACCTGATATTTACCTGAGATAATTAAATAAAATGAAAAGTTGAGAGGTCACTTGATGTTGATAGTTCTTGTATATTAGTTGTGTTTGTGCGGAATGAACTGCTCAGTGCTCACCTGGGAATGAGCTAATGATCCCTGGTGACTTGAATACACACTTGAATCCAGAGCCTCTTCAGAGACTGATCCTAGTGATAAACAGTGATAGTAGGAGACAGCTTAGCAGCTATAAAATCATAACTACCTTGAGTTTCTTACTTTGAAATGAATTCTTATTTCAAGAGGTAAGACTTTGACTTTGTGGTTAAAGGGTCTTCTTTATTCATTGAAGTCTTTCTTTAAAAAGCATATCTGCATTTTTAAATCAAAGTTGAGAATAAGCCAGTAGGAATCATGCAAAAAGAAAAAAAAATCTTGTAGAATCAAGTTATATTTCCATAGTTAAATTCTTCTGAATAATCAGGCATGAAACTTAGTTTTCAAAGATTCCTTATTCATCAGTTCACTGACAGAACAAAAACCCAATATAGCCTTTAAAAGTGTATAAATTTATGACTCAGACAAAATGCTAATAAACTCACCAACTTGAAGTGTGTTGATGTCTACTTTCAATGAATGTCTTGTGGAAAGTCCTACTGTGTTCATTGAATGAATGCCCAACCATCACCAGTTCCAAACTCTATGGACATTAGGGTATGAAGTCAAATATCTCAGGAGATGAGAGTCAGCCTGTACGTAGGAGATGAACCTTGGTTATCATCCTCAACTTTTAGGTGAATACTTTTTCACCAGTGTACTCTGTTGAAAATCAGGCTCTTTCATTTCAACATTCTTTGATTAGAAAAAATGTTTAAGTATGGAAAGGATTTGGTACATCTAAATAAACACCAAATAGTGTTCTAAATATTATTCACATGTCTAAGTAATAATGATATTGATATTTTAAATGATCAGTGGTTTAAGAGTATTTAAATATAATATTTAATACATTTGTACTAAGCTCTTCTGCTTATAATGTTATTATTTCTATTGCTTCCCTTTTCTAACAAGAAAATTCTTTCTTTAAAAGTCAATTAAGGCGTGACCTTGCTTAAGTGATAGATATATAGTCATATCACCATTCAAGAAATGCTGATATTAATAGTCAGGAAGTCAAAAACATACCCTGTCATCTGTTGCAATTTCCATGTACTCTAAACTTTATTTTAACTCTTTTATGTATAGTTACTAAGAGAAATAGATTAAGGTCAACTTTCCTGTGTACATACCTAATTCTACCACTTTCTATGTAAACTTAAATTACTATTTTCAAATCAATTTTTCCCATTGTAAATTGGAACTAATGAATGTATTTCATGGAGGCAGAAATATCACTACACATAAACTCTAAATCTCCACCTAGTGATTTATTAAGCATTCACTGAAAATTATCAAATGTCTGTGCCTTCGCCATATAATATTATGTTTGTACATTCTGTCATTTTGTTGTATTTTTAAATTACTTTGCCACCTTCATGAATCTCACATTTTAAAATGTTAGCTTTAAAGACACTATGGTATATTTTACTACATATAAATGATAAGAAAAGACAAATGATATAAGAGCTAATTTCTACTATTTCTGCTTTAAATTTTTAAGACATACTTATTATGCAACAATATATGAAAATTGAGAGTTCTGGAAACATCGGTTGCTACTCTGAAGTTCTCTTTGATGGCTTTTGTTTATATATATTTTTTTGTTAATGTACATATGCATGAGAATGAAATGATTTATAAATTCCTTCATATTGTCATCATAGCTTTTTGAGGGAAACACGTACACTGTCCCATGGATTTCCTGCAGACTTGGAACCACACTTCACTGACACAGTTCATTTTACTTGGCTTAACAGATGACCCAGTCCTTCGAGTCATCCTCTTCATCATCATCCTGTGCATCTACCTGGTGACTTTGTCTGGAAACCTCAGCACAATCTTTCTAATCAGAATCTCTCCTCAGCTCCATCACCCCATGTACTTTTTTCTGAGCCACTTGGCTTCTACCGACATAGGCATTTCATCTTCTGTCACACCCAACATGCTTGTTAACTTCCTGGTGAAAAGCAATAGCATCTCCTATCTTGGGTGTGTCACCCAGCTTGACTCAGCTGCTTTCTTTGGGACACTTGAGTCCTACCTTCTGGCTGTCATGGCTTATGATCGCTTTGTGGCCATCTGTAGTCCACTGCTTTATTCAACCAAAATGTCCACACAAGTTTGTAACTGGTTAGTTGTGGGATCATATGCAGGAAGTTTTCTAAATGCTTCCTCCTTTACCTTTTCCTTCTTTTCTTTTCTCTTCTGTGGACCAAACAGAATCAACCACTTTTTCTGTGATTTTGCTCCTTTAGTTGAACTTTGCTGTTCTGATGTCAGGGTCCCCACAGCTGTTACCTCACTTTCTGCAGGCACTGCCGCTCTCAGCACAGTGTTAGTCGTAGCTGTCTCCTATACCTACGTCCTCATCACCATCCTGAAGATGCGCTCCACTGAGGGCCGCCAGAAGGCTTTCTCCACCTGCACCTCCCATCTCACTGTGGTCACTCTATACTATGGGACTGTCACATTCATTTATGTGATGCCGAAGTCCAGCTACTCCACTGACCAGAACAAGTTGGTTTCTGTGTTCTATATGGTGTTGATCCCCATGTTGAACCCTCTCATCTACAGCCTGAGGAATAATGAGATTAAGGGAGCTCTGAAGAGACAACTTGGTTAGAAAATATTTTGTAAGGTTTGATGTAGTAATGATAATTCTTAGACAGAAATAATAAAAGAAACTGATTATCTGTGCATGAAAAATAGGTTCTATAAATATAAGGATCCATACTTAGTATATGGTAAGAAATTTCTTTTGTCTAGAGATATGACAGAGATAAAGTTTTCTCTAGGATCTATGACTTCTCCAGTAATGTGTATTTGACTGTCTTTACAGTGCCACCAATGAGTTCACTCACATTGAGAGGGCTTTAAGTCTAATCAGACAGCTGCTGATTACCCTGCAGATAATACTGCATCATTAGAGGTAGTTTACTGTCCTGATCATTATGTTTATTAGGCTTTAGGGCTGGGTTGGACCATTAATTGATTTTTTCCCTTAGCAGCTTGCATAGTATCCTCTAGAACTATGAAAGCTAAATTTCAGGTCGAGGCTTACAGGTCAGTTGCTGTTCCATTGCTCCAAGTCCTGTATCCAAAATATGCCCTGTGTTCAGCAGTAGGGTCTTATCTTCCAATTCTGGGAAATTACCAAGAGCTCTGGCAATATGTTGCATTGTTATTGTGGGAGTCTCTTGGACTACTCTGACCAACCACTCAAAGGAAGTTCTCTCCTCTCTGGCACTGTGTTCCTTGTCATACAGCTCCCAGGTATACCTATGTACAAGTGTTCAGACACCATATGTGCATTTCTCAGGGAGTTCTGGATCTAACAAATTTCTGTCTTGCTTCCCTAGAACCTCAAGATCCACTCTTCTCTACTCTTCCCTATCCAACCTACCTTCTCCCTCCTCAGTCCAAGCACCTCCATTATTCCCACCCTCCCCCTAGTACTCTCCACCACTCATCAAATAAGTTATTTTTGCAATAGATGGGGCTACTGCAGAGCCCCGAAACTGGTCACACACAAGGATATACATCTGAAAAATACCCAGTCGTAGGTGATATATCTACAGTGGAACCTCTATACCTAAAGCTCGTGGAACATAGTGGGATGGAGGAGGGGGGTAGAAAGAAAACTAGTGCATCGCTCAACTCTCACCAGTGAAGGTTCCTATTAGAACAGAGTACAATGCACACAGAAGGCCACAACTGGACAACTTTTAGAGAATAAAACACTGTAGAGTGTGTGTCCTTGGATAGGACTCACCCACATATGACTCAGAGACCATTGCAAAAGAGGGAGAAGAAAGATTGTAAGAGCTAAAGTTGTTTCATGAATATAGGCAAGCAGGGGCTTCCAGGCTACTGGAAGCTTTCACATGTGAACTTATGGCAATGATGGCATTGAACAAAGGACCCACACCAACTCAACCAGACAAGGGCCCAGAGTGGAGTGAGGGAAAAGGGCAGGAGACTGGCCCTAGCCTGGGAAGTGTTGGAGACTGATTGCTGCTGGGTGAGGGAGAGTGGACCTTACTTAAGATCCCTAGATGCACTTACTAGACTCCAGTGGATGAATTTTCACCAAAGGGCATCTGAGTACAAGTGTTTGACGTAATAGGACTTAGCAAGTATGCCAGAATGCATGAGGCCCGGCAGGGGAAGTTGTGTATGAAGGCATGGATGGGGGAGGGGATCTAAATTTGATTAAGAACTGTTGTATGAAATGTGTAAAAGCTCAATAAATTTTTTAAAGAAAAAATGTTCTGATAAATATTAGCATAGTGTGAAGATTTTTAGTAATTTTAATGGTGTGTATTCTAAGATCAAATAGAAAGTTATAAGTTCATAAACACAGCAAACAAGCATTTGGACTATACTTTAGCAGGTTCATCACACCCATCTAACAAAATGATTGCAGTGTTTTCCCACTGGAGCCTATATTCTCTCCTGCCACAATGGGTTGGCCTGGTCTACAGTGCCAGATGTGTGTTCCACCCCTAGGAGCAGGAATTTTATCCAACAGAAAATTTGCTGGTTGTACATACACTAGACACTCAAATATTGCACCAGCAGGAACATTTTGTTTGCTATGTTGATGATACAGCATGCTGGGTCCATCACTGATCAGAATTATATGGGTCGGTTCTCCCCCAATCATCTGCATATCACTTTTTGGCACCATGAAAGCCACCCGTCCAGTAGCAGGGAGTTTCCAGCTTAGTCCAAGCTTGATTTCCTTCTGTCTGGCCCTCACATCAAGCAGTGTCTTCAGCAATAGAGTCTCTCTGTCCACTTCTGGTGTGCAACAACATTATTGGCAATGGCCTTTATTGTTTGGAGGACCTCCAGGGTCCCTCACGTGAACAGCTCACATATCTTGATGCTGGAAAAATGGCTCAGCAATGAAGAACACTGACTGCTCTTGCAAAGGACTCAGGTTCCATTCCCAGCCCCTATATGGTGACTAACAACCAGCTGGAACCCAAATTCCAGGGGATCCAATACCCTCTTCTGGACTCCATGGGCATGGCATGACATAAGTGCATTTACATATATGCATACAGAACATTCATATACATACATGACATAGGTGCACTTACATATATGCAGGCAAAACATTCACACACATAAAATAAGAAATAAAACTTTTTAAAGTATATATATCATACAGTTGTCTATAATTTAACTTTGCACATCATCCCTCCCTACAGTGACCAAAGTAATTAATAGAGTGACTTACATCCATCACTACAAAATATTAATAAAATAAACTGACATTGAAAGAAAGAAGTCCAAATTGTTCATTTTATTTGGGGTTTAACAGCTTCTAAACTCAAATACAAACGATCTTAAAACAAGTATTTACCAGAGATAATTTGCTATTATACATATTTTCTTATCAAGTGAAAGTACACCTATACTCACAGAAAAAGAAAAATATATCACTTGAGATTGACAATCCTTGTATATTAGTTGTGTTTGTGTGGAATGAACTACTCAGTGCTCACCTGGGAATGAGCTAATGATCCCTGATGATTTGAATTCACACTTGAATCAAGAGCCTCTTCAGAGACTGATCCTAGTGATAAACAGTGATAGTAGGGGATGGCTTAGCAGCTATAAAATCATAACAATTTTGAGTTTCTTACTTTGCAATGAATTCTTATTTCAAAAGGTAAGATTTTTGACTTTGTGGGTAAATGGGGGAAAATCAGTACTTACATACTGTAGTAGAGAAATAAGTCTGATGGAATCAAGCAATTGTGAAACAAAATGGGGAAAAAAGAAGTTCTGTGGAATCTATATTTCTGTAGTCTATATTTCTGTGTTTTTCTAAATAATCAGGTATAAAACTCAATTTTCAGAGTTTTCTCATTTATCCATTCACTGATGGGACCAGTAACTTACATGGTCTTTAACAATATATAAAATTGGCAGTCAACCAAAATGCTAAGAATTTCACCAGCTTTGAAATATTTGATGGTGTACTTGCAGTGAATATCCTGTGAAAAGAATTGCTGTATTTATTGATTGAATGCACTAGCATCAAAGATTCCAGACACTGTGAACAAACACAAGGATCTAAATCTGAGGTGAGAGTCAACCTGTACTTAGGGGGTGAACCTTGATAAACTTTATAACTGGTTTGCTTGAATATTTGTACACCTTTGTACTCTTTTGAAAATCACATATCATTCCATAATTCCTCAGTTAGAAATGCTGTTACATTAGGTAAGAGTTTGATGTGCATAAATAAGTGAATACTAACAATGTTCTAAATATTATTTCTATTTTACATAACTACATTGATATTTCAAACAACTTGATAGAGCAATGGCTTAATTAGAAATATTTTTTAATATTTTATTTACTTATTTTATGTATATGAGTGTATTGCCTGCATGTATATGAGTGCACCTGTGTCGTGTAATGCCATAGAGGTCAGAAGAGGGCTTCAGGTTCCCTGGGAACTGGAGTTAAGGACGGTTCATAGCCACAATGTGGGTGCTGGGAATCGAACCTGGGTGTCCTGCAAGAGCAATCAGTGCTCACAACCCCTGAGCCATCACTCCAGCCCCAATTAGAAATATTTTTAAATTAATGAATTTATAATAGGAACTTGTAAATTTATAATTTATGCATTATAAATTTATACATATATTACATATATAAATTCAATGTGGAAATCTATGTCTTCTAAGTTCTAGCAAGAAAATTTATCTCTTTCAAAATTGAGTAAGACATGGCCTTGCTTAACTGATAAACTTTATGATCAGTGCTACCATTCAGTCACCACTTATGTACTAACCGTCAGAGAGCTGAAAATCTACCCTGCTGTGGGTTCAAAATGTCCATGCATTCTTAACCTCATTGAAACCCTTCATATACAGTACAGGTACTAAAAAGAATGAACTGAATTTAGCCTGCCTGGTGTTCATTTCTAATTATATTATTTTTTATTTAACCTTAGTTTAAACATTTTCAGATTGGTTCTCAATGACGGTTTAGAAACAGTTAAAGTACTTATTACTATTGCATGGACATTTACATAGAATAATATATATAAATTTCAATCTCCTGGTGATTAGTAAGCACTCAGTAAACCTTTGTTATTATTAGTGATCATTTAATGCTTAATTGCATAACCACATTTGCACATTAACCTTTTGCTATGATCTTAAAAACTAGTTGATTATTTCCAGAACTCTCACATTTTCATATTTATTTATGCATTTCAGTGAGGGAAGAGACCTCATTTGTTTGTAGGCAATAGAACACACATGGAGGTCAGAGGATAATTTTCAGAAGTCATTTCTCTCCTCTCACCATATGGGTTCCAGTAATGGAACTCAGGTCATTAGGGTGACAAGTGTCTTTACCAGCTAAGCCACTTTTAGATAAAGTGTTCAAAACTTTATATCTTTAGTTTTAAAACACTTAGATAAGTCTTTCTGTGAAGAAATGTTTCACATTATTTGTAGAAAAATTCCGGCATTTCTGTTTTAAAATTGTAAGACAGACTTAAAGCACACAAGTTAAACACTGAGAGTTCAGAGTAAAACATCAATTGTTGATTCAAACATTTATTGAATGATGTATTTGTTTATAATACTC